AAAAAAAAAAAAAAAAAAAAAAAAATCACTGAAAAAAAACAGTACGAAAACAATATGACTCCTGCTTACGCTTCGCGTGTGGGGGTCGTAATTATTTTGGTTCACAGGCTGTCCTGTAACTTTTGATTCATGCCTGTACTCAGGACTCTGGGAACCCTCATGGTAGGAACACATGCACAGAAGAGGAGTCTTAGCAGTAAGATCCAGTAGACTAAGCAGAATATTCTTATTTGCAAGAAATAATAGCTTTTGGTTCACGATTAGCCTAATTTWAATTGCAAGCGCTCATAACAAAATACAATGATCTTGAAACACAGACTATATCATGGGTAAAGGTGACGACATAATTTTTCATCCCTGTGTTCTGTCTTAGACCAGCTTCTAGCTAACATCACATTAGCAGCACAGCAAGTTCTTCTGTCTCCTTTTGATGTTCAGGTTTTGCATTAAACCTTCTGAATAGTCAGAGAGACAAAAAGCAGTTCATTCTCCATCTTGTTTGATCTGGCAGAGAGGCTAACATTCCGGGACGTTCAGTCACCGCAGGAGTTCCGCCATGGCGAGATGGCCGAAGTGGTGTGTGATGTCATCAGTTCGCCTGTGCCGGTGGTGGTGTGGTACTACCAAGACAAAGAAATAACGGAGGAGCACCGCAGTAAGTTATGATCACTTGCCTTTTTTCCCCCACCTTTGTTTGGCAGTGAGTTGAACATTTTATCACCTTGTGCATGGTAATCCACTAAAACAGTACCATAAAGTGCTAAAAAAAGTAGATTAATACTTTAAAGTACCTTTCAAAGTTGGTTTTGTTGTCTTTTTTGTGTGTTTAGCTGTACTGCTATATCGGTGCTCTTTACTGCAGTCATTTACGATAATAAAGTCGTAAGAGCAAACAGTCTCGGAGGAATTATTATTAGAATCTAAATGCACTTGAATATTGAGAGGATGAGTACTCATGATCCCCAATGTGATTTTTCTCATTGAAAGAGCCTGCTATTGTTCCAGAATCACAGGTCTCTGGGAAATTTCTTCCTTTTTTTTCTTTTTTTCTTTCTCTCTCTTTTGTGTTGGATTCACAATAAGACAAGGATATAAAATTCTATGAATAGAAATCTCATCAGACCTGGAGGAGGCATCTAATTTGGACAGAGACCACGTTAACAAGCCGCAGAGAGGATGGATGACGGAGCGCCGCGAGATGAAAAGCACACCGGCAATCCGGCATCTCATGAAATATAAAAAACAATTGCATGTTTTTATGCCATACTCCAAATTCTCTCTGCGAGGTTTTACAGTCGTCCTCTCCCTTTTAGCAGAAGATGTATATCATTTTTAGAGCTCTCTCAGGTATTTCCACCCGTTTCATCTCTAACACTGTTAAATATCAGGAGAACGGTCTATTTAATTTGCAAAGAAAAGAAGGGAAAAGGGAGAAAACCTCCCTCTCTCTCTCTCTCTCTCTCTCTCTCTCTCTCTCTCTCTCTCTCTCTCTCTCTCTCTCTCTCTCTCTCTCTCTCTCTCTCTCTCTCTCTCTCTCTCTCTCTCTCTCTCTCTCTCTCTCTCTCTCTCTCTCTCTTTTAGTCATATCCTCTAGATGGAGTAACGTAGTGAGAAGTAGCGCATAAGCCTCATTATTTCATCTCCCCCTCCTCTTTGATTTACAACTGCTCCCATATCTCCCTTCAAGGGAGAGAAAAAATGGATGTCTGAGTGCTAAATAGAAGAAGTGACCCCTTGAATCCTTGAATCTGTCACATTTTTTAATTGAAATTCAAATAAGCACTGACACCACGGTGATAAAACATTTGGAGGAAGTTTTTTCTCTCTCTCTTTTTAATCATTTCACTCTAATTGAGATGCCTGGTTATTAATATCTTTGCTGGCGAGAACTGAGATAGAGGCCTTATCCAATCTAATGGTGGTCCACAACAGAGCGGAGCTGCAGCTTTGTGAGTGTTTGTCTGTGTGGACTTTATCAGGTAAATGAACTGAAGTGAAGAYTGACAGTCTAACTACTGAGAGGGCTTTTCTTCTCCTTTTTTATTTCTCCTGACTTTCTTATCTTGCTTTTCTCTTACATTGTTGTTCATTTGTCATTTCCTGTCTTTGTCCTCCACTCTCCATCCACTCCCTTYTTGATCCGAATGGTGAAGGCAGGTACCAAGTGTTGCCAAACAACAACCTGCTGATCAACGTGGTAACCAAGGCCGACGAGGGCGTGTATCGCTGTGAGGCCAGCGTCGAGGCGCGTGGAGAGATCGACTTTGTGGACATAGCTGTGGTGGTCAACGGTGAGTTGATCTTCCATTTYGGTTACAAACCCCATGCAAAAAAATCTATTATAAATGGTGTGCTATTGCTTTTGGTAATGGTACTTTAAACAAAGAGTTAGCAGAAACCAGCACAAATTGTTCAAAAGACACCAATGGGTTTTTGGTGACACAGGTGAGAAAAGTCAGTTCTCTTTAAAGCTTTATAACTTAAGCATTATTCACAGAAGAAACATAAKTAACAGTTTAAATGGGTCACAGAAGTCTGGGTTTTACATAACAAAACTAGTGTTTTGATATGTTTTATGGAATTTACACAATTTCAATTGAAGCTTTAGGTTTTTACAAAAACGTTCAAYGAATTTTCAAGTAACGATTGATTATGTCACATACTCTCTCATGAATTGTCAAAAAATTTTCAAATCTTACAGCACTTTATGTACATACACAGATTATACATCAAATTATAGGGATTKTAGTCTTTTATCCAATGTGTATCTCTTTGGTATAGCACTTAAAAWTTTCTCTAAAACCCCCTTGGTATTGAGCCTGATACCAGTATYGGAACACCAGTAATGGTGACTGTATTGAGTCAGAGTATTGACCAGAGTTTCTGGTCACATGGTAGGGAGAACACCCAATCGGCATGACGGYTGRCCCCTAGAGAGTGTCCAGAACYGGAAGAAAGTRTATATGTGACCTCACTTCCTTGATTGGCACCATTTTACAGAGAAAATAAACGTGTGTTATTGGCTCCAGCTTGGTGCTTGTATAAACTTCTTTTTTACACATAACATTCAAGTCTTGTTTCTGTATTTGTTTCTTKTTCTCGACACACACCGAAGTGTACAAACACAGTGATTTCTTTTCAATATAATTATGTGTACCGTTTAGCTGGAAATGATTAAGGTGATAGTTCAATCCAAAAGTCCTCATGCAATGCAGTATACTTAGGTTTGAAATGTGACATTGTTTTGAGTTTCAAATGAGTTTGTCAAGAACAAAAATCATCCTCATCCTTGGAAACAGGATAACAATGGCTTGCCCTCCCATTGGTAAATAAGTTTGAAAAATGATTTGAAGATCTCACAGAATAATAGCTCTCTGGTGACACTGAATTGATTCACAAAGAAGGTGAAAAAATACACAGTGAGATTTTTGCACGATTCACATCAACCAACAAAAACGCCCATTGAGATTCCAGGCACACACACATACACACACATACGTGCTCCTCTTCACACACTGACAACAGATTAACATGCATTAGGGATCCAGTTTTCTCTGCATACACAAGTCATTTTGTTGCAGGTTGCTGCTTTTAAAATGGAACACAATTCATTTCTTCGTTCTGGTGCACACAGGTCCAGRAAGCCAAGGTTAAAGGTACGATGAGAAGTTTATTTCAGGAGCAGAAAGCCACTGTAACAATAGAATGTGGATTCAACAACAGTCATATTCTTGGACTAATTAGGATTACCAGTTTGACCCATCCCTTTATTATAACCRCTACAATTACCCAAAATCAAATAAATAAATAAATTACAAAGTGGGAGAGAGAAACAAAAACAACGGGACGTCGAGCCCCGCCTGCACTCACTACATACAGATAACAYGACACCAAAGAACCACAGCYGAAGCGTCCAAACCAATAAGTCAGGTGATGGGGCACATGACCCTCTATGAACAATAGAGCTAATCAAGCCTATTGTTTGGCTGATGGTCCTCTTTTGCATGTAACTGACCTGTTTGTCCACCATGTGGAGGCAGTGCTTATAAGACTGAGTTCACCTGAAACTCATCAGACTGAAGAAGTCTCTTGGAGGAGAGACAAAACGTTTCACTAAAGAAGAACCCATCCAGAGCACCTACTTATTTTTTCTTTTTTATTTTTTTCTACCTGGATTACTGAGATGCATCAGGACATTTTTTATAGTGTTTACATCATATGAACTTAATTCCGTAGTTGTAGAATTTAACACAACATTCTACACTCACTCTTATAAACTCAGTTTCTTGCTCATCTACTCTTTAGGCTTTTATTAGTGAGAATTTTTATTATCATTCTCTTTATTCTGTAAAGTGGAAAATACAGTSAGCTATAGCTTTGGGAGCCGTGGTCCAAAACTGGACGGATGTCATTTTAATTTTCTCATTTGTTCTCATTTACTGGTAGTCACCTGAGTCTGTTGGAGTGATTGAAATGTGATTCCGCTAAGGCCACGAGCTCCTTGTAATGGTTGAACAGCTGCAATATTGTCCCTGCCTATGTAATTCTCTCACACCTAATGAAATAGCCAAGCGGGCCTTGGCCCCAAAAAAGTATGAATTGCATTTAATTTAGCACACCACTTACCTCACTTCTGTGGAAGATACAATAAGCCTGCTCAATGAGGCACGACTTATTATTGCGGTGATGCAACACTTGCCGTGTGGTGCTGAGGTGGGTCGAACCGTGGAGCGCTTTGCTGAGCTCGCACACTGAGGGATCCTCACTCACAGGGMCACACTTGATGAACTTTAGGTTGTCTCAGAATGACATCTGTAGACTCTCACACAGAGAAGTGTCCTGCAGTATGTTCAGCCCCAAGCAGGAGAAATCGGTTGTGTTAAAAAGCCATTTGGTTCCTGTTAAAGGTACTGAATATATGACATAATTTTAAGCTGTTTTAACACTAACAGGACAGTCAGAGCATCTCAAGTGAAGTCCTATGAAAACTTTCATGTAGATTGCTCTATGTATGTATGTATTTATGTATGCATGTGTGTGTGTGTGTGTGTGTGTGT